AACTGTTCTTCTTTTAAAAATGTTAGCAGTTCAGTGTTCCTGGGAAAAATTCTGAAAATATACCTCTGGAACTTTGCCCTGCCCTGTTCCAGTCCAGTAACTGCGCTGGAAAAACAGAACCACAATATCTGTGCCAGATATTTAGGAGAACCTGAGATTGTTGTCACATTAAGGCAACCTTAGCTTTTCCTGTGAAATGGGACCCACGGGTCACACTGAGTTGAACAACATGAACCAAATCCTTCGTTTTCATCTACCTTTGCTTATGTGGTTAAACTCAGCCTGAGTTTCATGAGAGCTACTGTGGTGTAGTGGTTAAGAGCGGTGGACTCATAATCTGGGGAACAGGGTTCGCGTCCCCGCTCCTCCACATGCAGCTGCTGGGTGACCTTGGGCTAGTCACACTTCTTTGAAGTCTCTCAGCCTCACTCACCTCACAGAGTGTTTGTTGTGGGGGAGGAATGGAAAGGAGACTGTTAGCTGCTTTGAGACTCCTTAGGGTAGTGATAAAGCGGGATATCAAATCCAAACTCCTCCTCCTCCTCCTCCTCCTCCTCTTCTTCTTCTTCTTCTTCATGAGCACCACTTCACACAATGATACATACACGTGAAGCAGCATGTCCCAGTTTAGCAAGCACATCCTGTGGCAGCATCTGAAACAGTCTTAGAGAAAATGTGCAAGGTCGGTTTTATATGGATTTTATAATTGTTCAAGTTACTTGTGCACGTGCAGGAATTGCATACCTAGAAAATGCAGTGGTGATAAATGGACCAATCTTACCTGACACTGTAGATTCCAAAAGTACGTAATTTTAATATGTGGGTCTGACCGTATGGCAAGAGTCATTAGTTACATTGCATGCTATGCTTCTTCAGGTAAGTCTGTCTTAGATTCCAGAAAAACACTTCTAACGCATAATATGTAACTCGGGGCTAACATGACAAATTCACAGATTACATTTGCCAGGCACTGGAAAGGGTGGCGGACATGGCAAAACCAACAAAAGGATCGAATCTTTGGGTACCTTCAATATATAGAGCACAACTGCAGCTTGCCCTTTCTTTTCTAAACCAGGTGGTTTTCTATGATCTTGCAGTCAAATCCTGAGCCTGCCACGCTTGGTGTCTGAAAGACACAGATGACAGCTTCCATCCCATTTTTATTTTATTTTATTGCTATTGTGCTATAACTTATCTTCCTAGTTTCCCTCCTTTCTGTTTCTGCTGAAAATCATGTGTTTAAAACACATCCAGGGTGTTCCCTACTTTGCAGAAAGCAGCCCTCTGTCTGAAGGAGTCTTTCATCTGAAGTACTGTCCAGTCCAAGCCTGGTTTGAATATAAAGGGCTGTCTCCAACGAAGTCATTCATTAGTGCAATGGGATGTCTTCTCCCTCTCCTTCCACTGCACCCCCCCATGCTCCTTGTGTTGTTGTTGTTGTTTAGTCGTTTAGTCATGTCCGACTCTTTGTGACCCCATGGACCAGAGCACGCCAGGCACTCCTGTCTTCCACTGCCTCCCACAGTTTGGTCAAACTCACACTGGTAGCTTCGAGAACACTGTCCAACCATCTCATCCTCTGTCGTCCCCTTCTCCTTGTACCCTCCATCTTTCCTAACATCAGGGTCTTTTCCAGGGAGTTTTCTCATCTCATGAGGTGGCCAAAGTATTGGAGCCTCAGCTTCAGGATCTGTCCTTCCAGTGAGCACCCAGGGCTGATTTCCTTAAGAATGGATGCGTTTGATCTTCTTGCAGTCCATGGGACTCTCAAGAGTCTCCTCCAGCACCATAATTCAAAAACATCAATTCTTCGGTGATCAGCCTTCTTTATGGTCCAGCTCTCACTTCCACACATCATTACTGGGAACACCATAGCTTTAACTATACAGACCTTTGTCGTCAAGGTGATGCTCCTTGCGGTTTCCTCAACCCTCTGGGGAAGATTTGGGGAGAATAGGGAAAAGAGGGTGGGGGAGTCTTGTGGTGAAGGTGAAAGTCCCTGCTCTAATGGGGCACCTTTTTTCCCCTCTTTTTTTGAGACAAAGGGACTTGACATTAGTATTACCCAGAATCCAATTTCATATGTGAATTAGTTCAGTCTTGGCCCCCCACCCCCAATTTATAAATTGATGCTTTAAACATACTACTTTGAGTTTAGGCTTTAAGGTTCATGAATATGAATTCAAAGCAGGGAGTGACATTTAATCTGCAATTGTTCAAGTACTGGTCAGCTTGTGTCACAGTGTGCGGTAAGGCAATGAAGGTCTCGTGGTTGGGTTATTGCTTAGAAATTGAGCCTGACTAAGCCCACTGTGTCTTCTGTTTTGCAATTTTGATCCAGCAACCTTTTCATCATCTGCCAGAGTTGGAGCATAGAACTTAATGAATTGTCCAGAAATGGTTCTCTGGATCGTGACCAGAACAACTCAAAGGGACTCTTGCAGCTGCAAGTGTTTTGTGGGTTGGATGACAAAATGTTGTATACATGATACAGATTCGACTGCTGCCGCTGCAGTAAAATAATGGAGCCGTGCTCAAGAGAATTGGATTATGGAATCGTAATTGTCTCGAAGGATTGAGGGGACTGCTTTGCCACTGGTGTAAATCAGCATAGTCAAATCTGAAGCCCAGCCCAACCACATGTTAACAGGAGCTTATTTTTTATTGTTCTGATGAGATTTTTATATATGCTGAGAAAAATGACAACCATACCACGTGCAATGTTTTGGATATACATAAAATCCTTCATAGCAGCCGACCAAAGAGACTGCTGTTGAATTGCTTAAAAGAATACAATTGATGGGACTATCCCATTAACAAATGCACAGCATTACAAGGACAATATGAAGAAAGAGTCAAATGCACTAAAAGTCTGTGATGTGTGGACACAGGCATGCAATAGAGCCATATGGCTATGGGAATGGTTGTTTTTTTTAAAAAAAAAATATTTAAGATTCGACAATAACAATAGATCAACAGTAACTAATACATCAATTCATTACAGTTGACCATCTTTAAAGAATATCTGAAAAACTATTGTAATAATAAACATCTCCTGGCAGAACTAGAATGATTCTTGAAAAATAAGAAACATAATGTTTTTGGTATCTGATAAAAATAAAGAAAGTAATACAGTAATTTGGAACTGTGTGGAAAGAACAATAGAAATACCGTAATAATACAATGAGTCTAATCGGAAGTTAAATGTGTTTCTTCTTTCTTTAAATTCTTTTTTTAAATTAATTTTTCTTTTCTTCTCCCCCCCTTTTCTCTCCCCCCTCCTTCCTCCTTTGATTCCCCCCCTTTCTTCTCACTTTCTTCTTTTAGTCTCCTTCTTCCTGATTTGCTAAGAAAGAGATGAAGCTAATTATGGCTATGGGAATGTTTTGAAGGTGTGTCTGTATTGCTGGTCTGGTGTGGAACCTAAGCAGGTTTAGTTGCCCGGATGGGAGACTGCCTGGCAACTGAACGCAAGCTGCTTGAGCAATTTAGAGGAAGAGTGGGGTAGAAGTCCAATACGCAAATATGGAAACAAGCTATAATCATATTGCAATGGCTTTTCTTTAACTCCCTCCCTCCCCTTCATTTCTGATTTCTGCATCATCCAAGGCTGTGGCATTTCATACTGGAAAATCTTTAAAGTGTAACTGATTCTTAGACTGCATCTGAACTGGATATGGCCCAGGTCTGCTGAATGTCAACATTTGGATTTGTCAACTTCATTTTCTGCGATATAATTTTTTATTGAGTTTTCCAAAATTTCTCAAATTAGCTTCAAATTAGATAATTGCATAACAACTTCGTTTCGTAGATTGACTTCCCACCCACAGCTCCACAGTGTTTTTATTTAAACCTTTTTCTATTGCATTATATAAGAAACCACGATCTATTACAAAGAAACCCTCCAATACAATTATTTTATTGGGATTTGTCAACTTCATGAGTCTAAGGCTGTGTTTTCAAAGGTGCTGCTTTCCTTTTACATGGCCATTTGAAGCAATAAAGTTATATTCACTGAAAAATAAGGAATCAGACACTGATGTTTACAATTATACACAAGCTGCTATCTTGGGCTGGAAACCCATCTTGACAACAGCACTATTTCTGCAACACCACTAAATGGTCTATGGCAGCAGGTAGCCAACGTGGGGCCCTCTAGATGTTTTGGACTAAAACTCCCATCAGCCCCAGCGAGTGTGGGCAATTGTCAGGGATGATGGGAATTGTGGTCCACAACATCTGGAGGGCACCGGTTTGGCTATTCCTGGCTTGTAGTTCCAGGAGCAGTGGGCGTAGGGCCATTGGGAGTTGGAAAGGAGTAAGAACGACAGGACAATATATTGGGATCAAATTGGCCACAGCTTTATTGATTACAGAAGTCAGTAGGTTTTGGCATAGTCATTGGGTATGTATTATGAATCAACCAGCCCATTTGCTGGGTGATTATTCTTTCACGGTCGATCCTGGGTTTAGGATCACCTTATGACTTGCATCAGTTCTGAGCATTCCCTCCAGGATGCCATGTGGGGAATTCTATGGCCTGTCTGGGCATTTGGACAGAATCTTATCCCCTGGACCCCTTTAATGGGGTACCTTGGTGGGTAAATGTACCCCTTATTCCTCAAGGGTCTCTCTTACAGGACACACTGTTTCTTCAGTTTTCCTAGCAGTAGCCCTTAAATTGAGAGGAGGGAAGGACTTTTGTGAGTGCTCGAAAGGAATACACACAAAATGAGGATGTTCATGCCTTCCTAACAACCACAGACTTCTCTCGGTTTTGGATAGGACCATTGGGTGCCTCCAGATACTAGTTTGTAGGAGGGATTCAAGCACATTAGGGTTGCATGTTTAAAGTAGATTAAAGTGCTCTGTTGCCCTTGCACAACAAATTGTGGGATGTAAAGGTGCAGTCAAGTGCATTCCGACAGAGGACTAACTGCCTCCATGTTCTAACTGGTTGCTGTGACAACCAGTTTGTCGGTTGCTGGAAGTTTTGAAAGATAACTGCTCAGTTGCAGTCACCTCAGGACCAACTTCCCTCTGGTATAGTTTATTTGCTTCTTATGTAACCTAAGCCTGTCTTCAGGTACAGTTCTGTAAACCTGAATGAATCTGAGAGTAAAATAGTTTTATATTAACATGAATCAGATCCGTGTGTGTATTTTTTAAGAGGGATTCAAAGGGATTTTTAACCAGGAAGGCATCTTTATTAGTAGAACTCAGACGAGTCAGCAACAAGCTGATTGCTGCACAAACTTATAAAGGGGATTGTTTAACTCTGCTAAAGTAAACCTTCCCACACAAATTCCCCCCTTTTTTGCTGAAGAGGAGATGGACATTTTGCAGTTTGGAAATGTGTGGGGGTGAACAAATGATTAAGGGGAAGATGTGTAAACACCTCACAAGCAAATCGGGATGAATGTAGGACAACTGCCCATTGTCTTGTAACCGCTCTGTAAACAAATGAGAACAAATGCTCAGGGAAGACCAGAAACAGTCAAACCACCATGTCAGCTTTGTCCAAGTCAATCAGGATGGATGCTTGATAAAAAGGTCATCTTGAGGAGCCTCAAATGTTCCTTTGTCTTGACCTTAACAGGAGGCTTACAGTGATAAAGTGTGAGAAACTCTGGCAACACTGTAAACATGATGTGGTTTATAATAAAAAGCCAAAGAAAGCAAGGAAAAAGGAAAAAGAAAAGAGAGCAACGTCTCCTGGGACACAGCGTCAATGTAGGTCACCGCTGTGTTGATGGTGTTGGAGGAGAGATTACACAATTTAGCAAAATTTGCAGGCAGCACTTTTCAGGAGAAAGAATACGGGAAACATTTCCAATATACCCAGCACTGAATCCTGCCGGAATATTTGTGAGCAGGTGTATTGGGTATGCCAGGGCTCAGCACGAAAACATCATTCCTGTTTGTTGATTAAGGTGCTAAATTGTCTAAAGCTGTCTCTGCTGTCATCTCTTAGAGCAGGGATCTCAACTTGTCGTGAGGAGGGACCCACTTGGAACTTCAACCTGTGGTAGGAAACTCAGTTCCAAGAGACTGTAGTGAGGGCCAAGCAGTAAAGGAGAGAAGGCATGGGAGAGGAGACCAGTGATAAAGAGGTGGAGCCTATACACTCAATTGGAGCTAAGGACCGAAGAGGCCATGGACCCAGTTGTGGAGATTTCAACAAACCATCTAATTGGAGGGTCTTTTATTATGATGATCTCAGCTCAGCTGGTACCTGCATTGGATGTGAAATTATTTTTATACAGTGGTACCTCAGGTTAAGAACTTAATTTGTTCTGGAGGTCCTGAAGCGTCTGTAACCCGAGGTACCAATCTATATGTAATCATTTTCCATTGTTTTTATATCTGCAATATTTCTATATGTTTTTGCTGCATTGAGAAATTACGTTGAGATGCTTCATAGGAAACGATTCACAAATGAAAACAACAACACTGGCAACAATATTGTAGTCCAGGCATAGGCAAATTCAGCCCTCCAGATGTTTTGGGACTACAACTCCCATCATCCCTGACCACTGGTCCCGCTACCTAGGGATGATGGGAGTTGTAGTCCCAAAACAACTGGAGGGCCGAGTTTGCCTATGCCTGCTGTAGTTCTTTATCTCATGACCTCGGATGAAGATCCCTTTATAATTTCACTGCATTATTCCAAATGCTTTGACTTTCCATTTGGAAACCAGAAATAAAGGCTTAAGGATCCAAAATCAGATAGCATGAGAAAATGAGATTTTATTTGCATTCTCCAAAGCCCGCAAGGGCAAAGTGGAGAAAACGAGGATCTTTTCCCCCTTCTCTTCTGCATTTCTCCAGCCTCATCCTTATGTAGGATTAAACAAAAAGAGCAAGCAAGCCGCTTCAAAGCAAATGAGGCCCTTAATTTAGCATGGAGCAAAGATGGCTAGCTGTTAAGGTATTATCAGATTACAATAAAGGCTCTCTTGGTCTCAGGAGGCTCTGGTTTGGTTCCCGGCATTGCTGTTAGAGCTGGAAGTCGTAACCACAGATTATAGCAATGAGCGTCCAAATTTCCATATCCCAGCCAAAGATGCTGCTCCCTCAAGTTGCTATTTAACTGGGCCTTCTGTTTACACGATAAATAGTGTAATTGCCCTTGTATAAGCATAGCCCGAGGGAGCTGAGTTTTCAGTTACCGATTATCTCTGCAAAGGAAATGAATGAGGGCTTATCCGAGCTGTGTGCAAGTGACCTCTCAGATTTCTCCTCCCTACTTTTGAGTGGAGGAATTGAGGAGGGGGAAACCATTTCATCCCATTTCTCCAGAGAAACACGAGCATGTCAGCACTGCCAGGCATGAGCATGGGTTGGCATAGAAGGAAGAAACAGAGGAGATAGGCTGAATGGTGTGAACCTGAATTGGGAGGGTGGGATCTCCCCTTTCAACCCTGTTGCTTAGGAAGAGGAATCAGGGATGACAGCTCCCACACACCCTTTTCCTGCAGAGTGGAAAGGCTCAGTGGAAGCTCAGGTGGGCTTGGAGCCACAGAGGGAAAAGGGGGAACCAGAAGTGGCAATGGCCAAACAGGAGGGGGAAGTCTTACTGCCTAGAGGCCTTCACAGATAGGAGCAGACCTACTCACCTTGAAAGAGAAGACACCTGCAATCTCAACATCCCTGCAGGGCGAGCAAATCTTGCAAGTGAGCATGCCCAACTTCGTCTTTAAAATCTTGGCAGGTAGGGCAGGGAAACTGTTGGGACATCTTCATTGCTTCTACCCAGTTCTGAACTTCTCAACCTGCTCTTGAACTCCTGAATTCTGACTCGTGAGCTTTGTGTCCACTGCTGAGTCTGTGCTGAACAAAGACCTATTTCTTACTTACAAGTTAGAAACTCTGCTTGCATGTTTTTTTTAATATAATTTTTATTAGTTTTTTAACATATCATTTTAAACAATAATTAAACATACTTTTATATCTTATACCATTATTTTTTACTTCCATCAATCACATCTGAAAATTTTCCAATCTGTTCACTTAATATACATTTCTTACTTTCACTATTACATTTAAATCTCATAACTAATACAGTGGTACCTCGGGTTACATACGCTTCAGGTTACATACGCTTCAGATTACAAACTCCGCTAGCCCAGAAATATTACCTCGGGTTAAGAACTTTGCTTCAGGATGAGAACAGAAATTGTGCTCTGGCGGCACAGCGGCAGCGGGAAGCCCCATTAGCTAAAGTGGTGCTTCAGGTTAAGAACAGCTTCAGGTTAAGTACAGACCTCTGGAACGAATTAAGTACTTAACCCGAGGTACCACTGTATCTCTGTTCTTTCTCTACTTTGCAATGTTTCATATATTTCTCCTTACAAAACTTCTTGTAGTCCTACTAGCATAATTTGTTGATTACAGTTGCTCTTCAAATAGTTCATATATTTCTTCCAATCTTCTGTGAATCTCTGGTCCTGCAGGTTTCAAATCCTTTCTGTCATTTTATCTAATTCTGCGTAGTCCATTAATTTCGTCTGACATTCTTCTTCGTCGTAATTTCTTCTTGTTTCCATTTCTAGGCTAACAATACTCTTGCCCCTGTTGTTGCATATAAGAACAATTTAACATCTTGTCTATTAATATCCTCACCTATAATACCAAGTAAAAATGCTTCTAGTTTTTAAAACAATGTATATTTCAACATCTTTTTAATCTCATTATATATCATTTCCCAGAAGTTTTTTTTTACTTTCTTACATTCCCAAGAAACTCTGCTTGCATGTTGGGGGGCAGGAGCCAAGACACACAATTAGCAGTGACAATAGCATATAATGTTATCCAGGCGGCAAATCACAGAAATCACAGAAAATTTGCCACCTGGATAACCATGCAGGGAAGGGGCTGTGTTTACTTAGTTCCATGCTCTTTTACCCCACCAACATTTAGTGCTAAAAGTCATTGCATCCTTGGCAAGCAGTTTTATGAACCTGACATGTTTCATTCTTTTGTAGAGAAACAGTAAACGTTTTATTGGACACAATGTATGGAATCCCAGAAGCTGCTGGAGCATCTGGAGGAATGATGCAAATATAAAGTGATTTGATACACTCTGCTTCTTGGAAAAGTTGCATTTGTAGAAGGGAGGGGGGCAGGAATACCCCCCCTTCATGGTTTCTTCTTTTCAGCTCTTGAAAATGGACACAGAAAGAAATATGAGTTGGAAATATTAAAAACCAAACCAAAACCAAAGGAACCTGGCCGATAGTGGATTTGCATCAAATAACGAATTCATGTTTTCAATTGTCTGGATGTAATTTCAAGGGGTGCCTTATTAGAAACTTTAACTATCATATGAGAATGCCTCATTAAAAACTTTAAACATTATTGCTCTGCTGGAGTCTCCTGTGGATAGATTTCCTTTCTCACCTCTGCCAGATGATCGAGTTTAGAGGTAGGTACAATGTGGAAAAATCACTTGTGCATTCATTCAACACTTCCATACCCTGGGAGGAAGGGGGGGGGAGTAGTGGAAATGGCTTGAATTTATAGATCTATAAAGTTTTTTCGACACTTGCATTGTTTTTAAATGGACTTTTTATAAATGGGATTTTTGAATGTGCCAACGTTTTACTCCAATATTTTGTGGTTCATTAACCTTTTGGCCTGGAAAATCATGGAAAGTCCAGCCATGCACACATGTCAGCGTGGCAAAAGGAGAACAACCTTTTGCATGTTGCAATGAAGTGCAATGGGCGACAGGATATTAAACTGTTTTTATACGCAACAACAGCGGCAAGAGTATTGTTGGCCCAGAAATGGAAGCAAGAAGAAGTTCTGACGAAAGAAGAATGGCAGACAAAATTAATGGACTATGCAGAATTGGATAAAATGACAGGAAGGATTCGAAACCTGCTGGATCAGAGATTCACATAAGAAATATACGAATTATTTGAAGAGCAACTGTAATCAACTGGTAGGACTACAAGAAGTTTTGCAAGGAGGAATATATGAAATATTGCAAAGAAGAGAAAGAAGAGAGATATTAGTTACGATATTTAAACGTAATAGTGAGAGTAAGAAATGTAAATTAAGTGGAAAAGATTGGAAAATTTTCAGATGTGATTGATGGAAGTAAAAAAAAATTGTATAAGATATGAAAGTTATGTTTAATAATTGTTGAAAATAATATGTTAAAAAACCAATAAATATATATAAAAAAGAAGTGCAATGGGCATTCTTTAGAAAACAAATGATTCAATCTGCTGTTACTAATATCTACTGACAACAGCTTCCTTTGAGTTGTTTGTTAAACTTTTTATCCTTCCTTTACACCAAATGGTGCACAAAGTGGCTAACAGCAATGATACCACACACACACTAAAGCAGCAATAAAATAAAAAGCAGAAACAACACAAAACAACCCTACAGGGAGATAAAAAAGTCAATAAAAACAAACTCATTTAAAGTGTAAATGTTGCAGCATGTATTCAAGTCAGCTTATGGGCCAAAGACAGACTAAATAAAAAAAATGTCTCCGGCTCCCAATGGGTAGCTCCTTTCAGAGATGGGGCTACCCTGTCTCCCTTGGCTAGCAGTTGGGTTCCACCACTGAGAAAATCCTCTCTTAAGGTCCTGCCAAATGAGCTTCTGATGTTAGTGGAACAGAATCTTGAAATCTGGACAGGTCTATATTGGAGAATGCAGCTTTTCAGATAACCTTGTCCCAACTTGTGCAGCGCTCAGCTTCATTTCGTACATTCTCTGGTCAATATATGTAATCCAAATTTTGTACATAACTCAAAATAACATTTAATTTGAGAGCCTAATGGGGCTAAACAAGGGGTAAAACAATTACAGTTGGTGCCTCTTCCTTGGTTCAGTGTTACCTTCTGTTCTCAGGCTGTGTTCTGTTTTGTTATGACAAATTTAACTTTCCTTAGAAAAAGAGAAATGGAAAATACCTCTGAGATACATTTGATGATCTTCCTAGAAATTACATCAAATTACATCACTAGAGTTTAATGGACTGTACTTTGTGTTTAATTAATATTAAGAAAAGAGAAGAAGGAGTGAGGAATCATTCAACCTGAATGAGCTTTTTCTTCAGTCCTGCTAGTAACGCTCAAGGCAAAAACATTTTGCATCCTTACAAAAATGCAAGTAGATTATATGTTTTTACATTTACTCAGAAGTCACAGAGACCCTTTGGCAAGATGTTTGCTTCATTAAATAGCTGTGGTTTTTTTTAACCCACTGAAGTAATTAAAATCACTCTGAACATCAAAGCAGGACTATATATATATATATATATGGAAATTTAAGAAGTGACTGCTTCTTAATTCTATGTGTGTCTTCTATGGACCAATGATAAAACTGAAAGAAATCTGATAATGCATTTTTTAACAAACAATTTTATTGGTTTTAAATACAATAACTATTAAACACTTATCCAGCAGTACAGCTAATGGTGTTTTCTTTATCCATTGTCTTTACACATAAACTTACACATTCAATATTCAAACATATTACTTAACGTAACCCCTCCACTGAGAGTACTG